CGGAAACGTACAGCTAGTATATATATATATATATATATATATATAATGTACAACACTACTTTACTGATACGAAAACAAAAGGGGAAAAAGAGAATTATTACTGCTAGCTTTATATATCATAAATTGGAGCAGACCTTTCGTAGTTAAAATAAACCAAGTAGGAAAAAACGTTTAATTAATTGGATGATATGTGCTTAAGATCTTAAATATGCTTTAACTATCACACGCTCACATGGGAAAACAAACATTCTAATATATCCCTAGCACCTTTGTCATATTCTAAAATTAGGAAGCTAGAAGTCGAAAACACATTTGCAGTCAACTCCTTCCCTTGTTTACTTCCTCACACACACAAACACATATACGGGCACATGCACAAATGGATAAAGTTGACCTCCCTCTTTCATAAAAACTTATACTCGATCACTCTGGATATATTTTTTTCCTCCAAAAACAAAAGTGCTAGTAGGGCCAGTTCAGCTTAGTAAGCCACTCCGCAGCCTTCTCTTGATTCCCTTGCGCTAAATCTAAGAAGATGGCCAGCATCTGATACGCGAACAGGGCTTCCCGCTCAGGTCTATACTCGTTGGACGCCGATGGCGCCGCCTCGTACAACTTGGCCAGCACCGAGTCCATGATCACATGCGCCTGATTCCAGGATCCCGTCAACACGTGGGTAACCGCCAAATTGATGAAAAGCACCTCCAGTCGACTTCGCTGTGCCACATCAACGCTTTCCGTTGCAGGGTTGTTGATCAGCGACGACAGAGAGGCACGTCGCAACACCTTCAGCGCACAGCTCGGATCGTTCAAATGAATGAGTGCCTCTACCATGTACGATAGCAAGGTGGCATGCACTGTAGTTGGAAGGGGATGCTTTTCGTGAGTGTTAAGTAGTTGTTCACCCACCTCATTGGTGGCCTGATAGTTCTTGCGAAACAACTCGAGCGCAACCCAGTACAGCGAGGCATGCTGTAAGACTTGCGCCATCTCCGGGAACGCGTCCAACGCCGAGCTTAGGGAATGCCCTTTCGGAATCAGAAGAAAGAGGGCGTTTCGAATCGCGACCGCGGCCTGTTGCTCCGCGGCCGTATATGCAGGGCTGTCCTTGAGAGGTTCCTGCATCGGCCCCGTAACCGTGGCAGCGCCTGGGAGGAGCATAAACTCGAAGTTAGCGTAAACCTTTCCGGTCTGGAGGAGGGCACTGAAGGCCGATTGCTGCCGTTCATACTCCTCACGCTGGCGCGCGCGGAAATGGCGCTGGACTAACCCAATCGCGGCCTCTGCGAAGCGAACCCAAAACAAAGGAGAGATGCGCATGACAGCTTGCACAGAAAGTAAGTGCTTAATCGCCTCCTCATAGTCCTCATTCAGCAATGCACACAGAGCCGCGTTGTAGGCAACAGGCTGTTGAATAAACTGAGAGCTGGGCTGCTGCCCAGACGTCTCCATCGCCTTGCTGAAACATAGAGCTGCAGTGCCGATCTTCCCATCACCCATCAAAAAGACTCCTAAATTGTTAAGATATATCGACTGCTCCATAGGGTTATTGTTCGAATTCTTAAACGCTTCATGCACACTACTTGAATCTGCGAAGGCTGCAGTAACCAAAGCGAGGAGTTCCGCGTCCTTGGTGATATCCTCCATACGCTCGTTGAGAACACTTTGGATTAAATCTTCATCTTCCTTACTACGAGACGAACCTCCCAGCTTAGGCGCAGGCCGTGTGACCGTATGCAACAGGCATAAACTATATGTAAGGACCTTCAAAGAAATATACTTGGACATTGCCAATATGCTTCTCAAAATGGCAGCGGCTTCTAGGATCAACCCCGCGCGTGCGTAAAGAACCGCACGATTATAGAAAGCCGTTTCATGGCCTTCGTATAACAAAGTGATATTTCGTGCTTTGGCAGCACCGTTTTTCCTATTATTGCTGTTAGTAGCCACGTCCGAACTGTCGGAAGGTGGCGCTAGCTTAGCAATCGCCTGTTCGATATCTAACTCCCCTTGCAAATACTGAACCATTACTAGGTTGCAATAAATCTTCAGATCATCTGGCGACATGCCCTGAAGGATACTCTCTGCATCGCTAAATTTACCCTCATCGAATGTCTTCTGAGCTTGTTGCAACTGTTGATCATAAGCAGTGTCGGCCATGTCGTTATGCAGCTTGAAAAAAAAAAGTAACCACTGCCGCTGTTGTTTCCTCCCTCCTCACACACTAGAATCTTTAAAGCGCAGATGACTATTGTAATTTGAATACTGACTAACTCATAATAGTGGGGAGAAAGTGATATTGAATTCAGAATAAGCGTAAACATAATATCGTTTGGATAATACCCTTCAAATCTGAAACCCCATTTTTTGATAATATTACATCCATCAGATATACAAAAGAAGAGAAGAGGAAGGGAAGGGAAGGGGGATGGGGGGCGGGGATATCGAGTTGTACTGATGGTAAGAGAGCTCCTAAAAGTATAGCATACCAATCCATGTTAATTCTCCCCCTGGGTTGCAAAGTAATGCCTCATGAAGACCTTAGTGTTTGTTCTCCTCAGATGACAACATTTTCATAAATTCTTGCCGAGATATGCGATGATCGTGATCCAGCACATCGGCCTTCTCTATGATTTCCATGAGCGTCTCATCTGGCATGCTCTCACCTACTTCAGCTGCAACTCGCTTTAGGTCATCTAATGTAATAAACTCGGATTTTCCCTGCGTAAAGAGTGGAAATGCCAGTTCCAACTCCTCGTCATTATCTTCTAAGAAAAAGGCTTGGCGCATGATTTCCTCAAATTCAGCCAAAACGATGCTGTTAGAAACGCCACTGCGGTCCATTTTGGCAATCAAGTTACGAACTACATCCCTCTTCGGTTCATAACCTAGTGCCCGTAGTGCAACCTTGAGATCGTTTGGCGTCATGGCCTTCGTGCCGTTCATGTCAAGCATACAAAACGCCTCAGCGATGTCCTCCTTTTGCTTTGACGTCAGATCTGGTTTTAGGTGATGACCCTTCTGGGTAGAGAAACTTCTCTGGCTCATCCTAATATACGTGATATGCCTACTAACCAAAAGAAAGAGAGAGATCTTTTAAAAAAAAAAAGATGTACAAGAATAACCTGTAACAACATCAAGGAAGTAAAAAAATAGTGATTAAATTGATAAAAAAATAATGGTGTGTTGTAGAGATGGAACAACTATTTGATAAATCCGGTTCACGATGTTTTTTATTTTGAGACTAGCAGAACGCTATTCACAACGATTTTTATCAAAAAAAAAAAATGGAAAACTTAAGTAGCATAGATATACACCAATGGATCCAAGCATTTCGAACGAGCACGAAAAGAATTTCTGCGCATAAATTATCCTCTTCAAGACATCATCAAGAAGCAAATAATATAGCTCATCAAACGAATCACAAGCCTTTACAAGAATAGCAATAATAATAAATATAGACATTGATGCTAGATGCCTCCGCACTTGTCGCAATAAAAGAAAAGGAGTTTCACTTTAGCTCTCAATCAACTAATGCAATGAATTGGGAAAATCAATAAGCCCAAGGTGAGAATAAACTGTGTATTCACTCTCTATTCTCTTTATCTACTATGCTTATCTTGGGGTTTTATCTCGTGTAGCGCCAGACCAATAACCTATGCCCCCACCCACCCTCGCGCAGCCTACTGGCAGCATCCGGTGCTGCAGGAGGGGGGTGGTAGCGTGTGGATGTTGGAGCGCAGCCCCCCACCAGGGGACGCTGACGGCGGAGGCCCCGGTCGCGGACCTGAAAAGAACCGCTGGAGTAAACTCCCGCGGGGTGCAGCGTTAACCCCGCCCCACGGCCTGCCCTGCGGCGCCGCATGTCCACGGGACTGGTGGTGAAACTCCTCAATTTGTTGATTCACTGGATCAAGTGAAAACATCGACGAAAAAAATAATTGAATAAGGGACCACAGGGTGAATAAGATGCCCTGCAACGCAAAGGTGTTGCCTTTGCTCTGCATGAGTAGGGAATAATCTATAGATAAGCGTGTGTGTGTTTACCTATTTATTGGTGGTGTAGCGTATCTAATTCTCACTCACTTACTTAATCATAAAAAAAAAAACCCTCAAGATACGAGAAATTAAATTGGAAAATAGAGAGAGAGAATTCTTTTTTCTTAAGGGAGAGAAAGGGAAAGATTTAATTCATGAGGGAATGCGGCTGGTGGCAAATCATAACGATAATGATGAACAAACCCATAATTAGACACCCTTTATTGTACAGAGCAGAACACTTTATAATGTCGTACGCAGCGCTGTGTGTGGATTTCCATTATTTAGCGAATTCAGAAGCACACATGCTCGACATAACCGTTGACTAGTAACATAACCACACCGCGTGCACGCCCCTTGCGCGTTTGTTGGAGTGGCATCTTTCGAGTTCACCGTTATCCGCTCACCGCTGTGAACTATATCGGCAATGCATCGCGGCTGGATAACCTCCAATTCTTTAATGAGAGCCCGTACGGTACCCCTAAACGCTTCCTTGGCGTAGCTACACTCGGTTGTGAAGTAGTCTAGCTTCTTAAAATGAGCATAGAGCACGATTTCCTTCTCATATGTGTACTTAAGCGGCTTAACTCGAGAAAGGAGTCCCTCACCCCTCGAGACAGCCTGTGTGCAGCGCGCCAAGCGTGGGGCGTCCCCACGCAACACATTCATAAGCACCGTCTCCGCCGTGTCATCAGCGTTATGCCCAGTAACTATTTTATTCGCGCCTATAAGTGCAGCACCGCGCTCTAGAGCTTGCCGCCGCATCACACCGCAGAATGTACAGCTGTTTTTAAGGCCGACAACGGCAACAATTTCGTCCATCGTCCAGCCGTATAGATCTTGATAGGACAGAATATGGAGTGGCAGTCCGTAAAAGGCGGAGTTGCGCTTAACCGTTTCTAAACTATCATCACGATAGCCTTTGATCCCTTCATCAATACTAATTAGCTCCAGACAAATGCCGTAGTCATAGCGCTTGTTGAGCTCGCACAAAATATGCATCAGTACGGTACTATCCTTCCCACCGCTGGCACCGCTGGCCACGATGTCTCCGCGCTCAAATAGCCTTTCACATTGAATCGTATCGTGAATTTCATCTTCGATTCGGCGAAAAAAACACCCCTGGCAGAGCATTTCTCCATTTCGTGGCCGCTTCAGGACAGCGTGATTCTCGCTGCAGCAAGCACAGGGTCGCTTTTTAGAGGACATACAAAATCTACTTACAACTTAATATATTTGCGAACTCACCGAGGCAAAGAAATATCATGAAGCACTTAAGAAATGAACGTAAAAAAAGAGAAAATGAGGTAAAAAGTGTTTTAATCCCGCAAGATCATTGGGTATATAGTTCTTTTCATATATTCATTTGGTTAATATTTTATTCCGGAAAATATTTGATTGGGTGCGCGTGCTGTGGATCATAAATGTTCCCCTCCCTTCAATAATCAAGGTATCTGCTGTGCGCTATTGGGTAGTCAGTGGAAAATGAAGCCGATGTGCTCTCATATACGTATAGCACTTGGTTTTCCCTTAAAGGATTTCACGAGCAAACGATCTCCCCCGATGCATCTTCCAGTTTTCCTTTCTTGATCCCAAACCGTGCACACTCTCCGTCGCTGCGTCAAGTTTGAGCAAGAAGACATATCACGTAGACGCACCGAAATGATCGAGAATCAATATTCACGAGGAAAATGCCCTCATCACGGTGAAGCTGCACTGAGGTCTGCAGAGATCAACTGATACCTCTGTGTTTGTTTGACTTATTCTTGCCTGTCCAATGTGAATTAGGATAGACATCGCCGCCATAGAAGCCTTTTGGCTTTGATGGAGATTCTTCCAAGACACCTTTCCCGTTTGAAATGCTCGCAACTGATCCCTCCTCCCTCAAGATCTTCGTGTGCGCGCGTGATCGTACAGATTCACTGAGAGAGACTTTCTTCCCATCAGACCTCAGCCCTTTTTCGCATCGAATACTATTGAAGCGCGTTGCGTCCCGTGATGTTATCTGATTCGCTACCTTTTTCTTCACTTTCACATCTTTTAGAAGAAGTATGTCGTTTGGCCCAGCATTGCTGCTGGTGTTTTGATGAGAGTATCTAGAGGTCCTCGATGACACTATCTTTGGGAGAGAGGTGACCCCTGACACCGGTTTCGATTCTTCATATTGTGTGACACCAGTGGGATGGACACTCAATTGTTCGACATAGTAAGGTACCACCACCTCAGCCCATAGTTTGTCAAACACCAACATTTCTAACTCAGTCAATACCTCGGACGGAATCGTTGAAGCTGCCGTGCTGTCTCGCGAAACTCCGCCGCACTGTGCGGACAATTGGGAAGCACCTTTTGAGTCATCCAATGCAAAAACATCAACAGGAGGGGTGCCGTGCTGTGAGAAAATTTCTTCAAAACTACCCGAAGTTGTGTCCTTGCTACTAAGTTCTACTGGATTACGGATTGGAAAAGAGTGACCCTCAATGCACAATCTGTTCACTTCTTGTGGTATATAGCAGCTGCAGCCCGCTGCTTCAAGCCCCACCGCCGCACCCTCGTCATTTTCTACCTTTGCTTCCTTACCCGATCCCATCAAACCAACCCCGGAAATATACAGACTATCGACCGGGACCACCTCACAGAACTCACACACAAGGCTATTCAACACCTCTTGCCAAGCACCCGGACCATCTCGTGGCGGCCGGTACGGATTCCATTTCACGCGTGGACCCTTTTTGGCGATCTCCAGCGCCTCTGCGCTGTGCATGCTCGCCCACAGGTCGTCCAGGAGCCCCTGAAGCCGCCTCTCGGTGTCCTGCTCCAAGCGTTGAGTGAACTCGCAGCCCCTCGCGCTGCGCCCGGGAGAGGAGAAGGAGGGTGGTGAAGGTGAATGAGGACAAGAGGGGAGTGTGAGGGGGACTTCCATGTCGAAGCCCTCCCCCCTGCAGGCCCCCGCAACGGATGGCAAAGGCACTTTCGCCGGGGGACTTCTCATTTTTGTTTTGTGGTGTGGCACATGCAATGCGCCGTACCCTAATGAATGTCCAAAAGAGCCGTCTAGCCCAAAATTATGCACAAAAAGTGCGAAGAATAATTCACCGTGAAGCGAAAATAAAATTGGACTATATCTACTAAATTTTATGAATGACCGAAAAAATAGGAGGAGAATGAAGTCTTCACTTGTGAACAACGAGTAGATCCCACAAATGTCGTGACTACAGGCATCACCTTCCCATACCCTTTCCTCTTACAGTAGCGTATAGTGTAAGATGATATTAAAAAGAGAAGATTAGCGTATGTGTAATGATACAAGTTTATATCAATAATATTAACCTGCTTAATGCAGCCTAAAGAACAAAGGGCATCCTCTCCAATGCATGGGGAAGAAATGATTCCCCATGCTTCACGATTCAAAAAAATGATTTCCATCGAAATATACAAAAGAAATTTAGATGGGCGAGAACAAAAAGAAAGTTTTGATTTCTTTTGAAAAATGATAAAATCGAACTGACATGGAATTATTTCTTAGTGTCATATTGAAACGTTATGGAGGAGGTTGCTCTGCTAAGGACTTCTTTTGTTCACCCCAAAGCTTTGCGATCGCTCCGACTCGCTTGTTATACTTTATGACCTGCAACTGATGAGGTGTTAACTTACATTTTGGGCTCCTCTTTTTAGGGGACTTGGCCTTGGTTTTGTCTTTCTTTGGGGATAAAGGTGTGGTGATTTTCTTCCTTTGATGGAGGACTTTCTGCGGCATGATGGTTTGCGCTTTTGATGTGGACCGAGACCCCCGAACACTAGACGAACCCCAACGATGGGAAGATAGTAATGCAACTCGAAAATAAACATGGCTGTACACAAGGGAGTGAGAGCATTCAAGTGAGCTAGAAGCAACCAGCGAGCGTTTAAAACATACTAATGCTGGACCATGGGTAAACGTTGGAAGCATCCGTACTATACTAGTGAGCCTGAAGCCAAAACGGAGAATAGCACTACTGCGCATGATACTGTTTTTCTACTCTCTGTATTGTGTAGTCTACACTTGCGAATATGCTTGTTCATTGTGGGGAGTTGGTAACGGTTTCAAAGAGATGCGAAAAGTGAGTTAGGGAAGGAAAAATCAGAAAACAACCATAAATATCACAATGTTGCGGGTTTCCAAAATTCTTTCAAGCAAAAGTGAAAGTAAGTAAACAAAATTTAAAAGCAAATACACACACACACACACACACAAACGTATATATTGATAGATAGATATTGGATCGTTCATGACACAGCTAATAACAATATGGAAATATAATCCCTTCCTATCACCACTTTCCCTAAAAAGGGAAAAGTAAAAAGCAATCCGAACAATAAACGATCAAATTTTTTTGTAAACATGAGTTCCATTTTTTTATTCTTGAAGTAGAGTCCTCGAAGAAACCAAGGAAGCATACTGGAAACACACGAATCAGCGGAAAAGAATACTGATGATTCAGACTCCACCTCTTTTCAGGGGAGGGAGAAAAGAATGTTGGTTGTGTTCTCAAGAGGATTCGCGCCCACGGAGAAAACTGCTTAATGCCACGGCTATTCCCGTCAATGCTGTACTCACACCAACTATCACCGCCGTATTCATCGCCGCACCCTGGCGCTGTGCTACCTCAATATATGTCTTAAGCGCCTGACCTTGACGGCTATTGGGCTCTAGGATTAGCATCTGTGAGATACACGAGTTTGCTCTCTTGAAATCCTTCAACTTAATCCATCCCAGTGACAGGTAGTAGTGAAAAATGTGTAAGTCATCATTACTCTGTGAACGGCCACGCGCATTCCCCATGTTACCTGAAGTCTCGTGCTTTGGGTTGCCGTTCTGAGGCCCTGACGACAGTGTTTTCGTCTTTTCCTCACCAAGCATAGCATGCTGCGCATCAATGCATATGCAATCCTCGCCAATCAGCCTGCCTGGCGAGCTACACTCGGCAGCAGAAGTCTCACATTCATTATGGATGCCACTTGTGGGCATATTTTCTACTCCACGCCGATCACCCTCAACAGCAGCGACTGCTTCACTATCTTCGTCTTTAGGAAGTGGTGGTGGCGTCGCCATTGACAGCGACTCATATTGTTGAGTCAACACTTTGCTCCAGCGGTTCTGCCACTGAGTGGAGATAAGAGTCTCCATAATGTGCAGGCCCTCCTCCACGAAGGAAAGTCGGGAATGGGAAATCAAAGCAACAGCTAGTTGGAAGGCGATTTCATCATTGTCCGTGTCATTTTGGTGCTGAATGCGTAGTGACCGAATCGCCTCCGCTAAGCCTGTTAGCTCGTTCGAAGTAGGGTGGAGGAGAAGCTCTAAGTCAGGGTTCAGTTCGAAGAGCTCCCTTACTTTCCGCATGAGTCTCTGAAAGTCAGGGGAAATGCTTCCTGACGATCGATACTGAGGAGTTTCAAAATATATTCAGAATTCTTGAAAATATTAAAAAAAAAAACGGAGAATTAGATCATTCACGCCTATCTATCTTCCAGTATTAGCAAATGCAAGAGCATCCCCTGCTCCTTGACTTAACAAAAAAAAAACTATTTAAACGGTTATGTGATGAGAAAATAGATGAAACCCCCTATTAAGCCTCAACACTAATTTCTTTGTATAGCATCATTAATACCATTAGTTGTATTGATATAAAAGTCATTTTAATTAATAGCTCATTATTAAACAGAGCTCTATTTGTGGCTGTTAGTTTGAGAATTCATTGCTCACAAGCCGACATCGCCTTTCTTATCTCTTCAAGAAATTTCTTCGTGTTGGACTCGCCGTTAGGTCCAGTGAACTTCAACAGGTAATTCGCAACACCGCCTTCCAGATTACTAACAGAAAAGACGATGTGCTTAGGACCTTCCTTTCCCAAAACAAATACATTCTTACCTATCAAAGAGTTCAACGAATAGCCATTGCGAACAAGGAGACGATAACAATGATGGGCAGCGTTACTGTTCTCCTTGCAGGCATCATCTGGTGCATTCCCACTTGTCGTTTCAGGCCCATCGTAATGCTCGCGTTTCACCTTTGCTTCACTTTCGCCGCGATCCAGCCATTTTTTATCCTTTGAATCAAACAAGAATAATTTGCATGGTGCTGAAACGAGGACCTCGCCGGTTCTGGCGACAATAGAGTGCGATTCAAACTTATCCGCAGTATCACCACTTTCATGGTCCTTTGCCTCGTGATGCGCGTCGTCTCCTTCGGTATTTAGGGCATTGTCTTCATTATTTTCTGTCGCGTTTTTCCGATCTTCTTCAAGTCTTTTGCGCGCATCCACAAATGACTTGACGGCGCCTGCAAAACTGAACGTACTGGACCCAAATAAATGACCAGTCTGCTGCTGAGTCTTGTCTCCTTCAACTGACCCATCACTCTCAGCCGCACCATTACCTGCACCAGAAGCAAACGAAAAAGAAGGCTTGTTGGTATCCTTCGTAGCGCCAGATGAGGATGCCTGTGAGCCGAACATAAAGGTGGGGGCAGAAGAGACTGCAGCGTCTGCGCTATCTCCCTGCGGCAACTTGACAATAGGCTTCGATCCAATGCCAAAGCCATTGCCACTTGTGCTGGCGTCAAGTCCGTTGGTATTGTTGCTGAGCTTTCCGCCAAAGTTGAAGGAGGCTCCCCCGTTGAGCGTGGGATTGGGCGCAGCCTGGCGCAGATTTTTAAAGAGGCCCCCTGTAGTGGATGGAGTTGTCTGAGCATCCCCCGTAGAGTAGGCGTCACGTCTCACCTTGAGGAAACGGCGTTTAGATAATTCCTCTTCGCTTGCAATACTTGGGGCGGTTTCGTATTCATGATAAATCTCGTCGTCTTGATTCTCGCTTGTAAGCTGATAATCAGCCGAGCGCTTTACACCAGGCATCCCTCTTTTTCTATAGTGAAGGTATAAGTTGTTCCTAAACCTGTATCTTCTGTTTCCTTCCAGCAGGGAAGGGGTGAAGTTGTAACCAAGCAAAGGGTAAAAGGAAGAAAAACACTAGAATAATAAAGCTCCATAAAGCGCAAAATGGAAAGAGACTAACCTATCTATACTATGTCTGTGTCTTATGTGACTACGGAAACATGTATAGATCGAATTGAAATTCCATTAATGGGCTTAAAGGCGCTAAAAGTCTGAATATATATATATATATATATATAATTTGTTAACGCACTAAATATTATCTTTCAACTCATAAAGCAATGAGAACATACGTCACCCCAAAACGCTTTTCCATTGGGGTTGCACGATCAATAAAAGCAAAATAGAATTAAGCACTTTATTGTTAGTTTGATTCCAATTTAGCACTTCAAAAAATTAAGATTCCATCTTGATGAAGTGTAAGGCTTCCGCTAAGTGTATCGTTAAGGTGAATACATGCATCCGATATAAACAGGAGGGAGAAAAAACATCAACATAAAGGAATCTATCACATAATAGCACACTTCTGGTTACTTTCTTTTGTTACGGGTATGTTACTATATAATTGGCCGCGGATGCGCGGCCGTAGGGACTCGGGTATTTCATCGGTACCTGAGGCAACAGCATCTACCAGCGTGTCCACATCTGAAGGTTTAAAGAGGCCAAACGCAACCCCACCGCTTTTTCGATACAGAATAACGTTGCCTGCGTAAATGTGGCCACCTATATGTGCGCATGGGAGCACGGAGACTCGCTTTGCCCCATCCTCGCCCATCTTCCGTAGCACAGCCTGACGTAGCAGGTCCACTAAAACTGCCCCACAGTACCCGCAGCGCTTATCACGGCTGAGGTGCGAGCACACAAAGATGAAGCATTCGTCGGTGCGGTCAACCTGGAGGGTCCCCTTTTCCGTCCACGGCGTGCTGACAGGATCGGAGATGCTGTACTGCGTGATCTCGAAACACCCCGTGTTCGGATTGGTGCGGAAGCGCAGCACGCACTCGTCGTCATTGGTTTCACAAACCGTCAATGACGCCCTGGGGCTGTCCTTTTGAAGACTCCGGTGGAGTTCAGTATAGTGGGGAACGTTGTCGGTGAGTTTGCTCCACTGCGTAAAGGGCATGGTAGAGGCTAGCATTACGTGCTCTTTATCCATCTTCATGCTGTTAGGTAACGACTCCGGTATGGAGCCGCAACATTCCTCCCGACCAAATCCATAAAGAGAAGGATCCAAGCCCTCAATGTCCTGTAACGTCTTGCTGCTAAGATGCGATTTGATAGCTTTGAACGAGTCTGGATCCTCAAGCATAAGTAATCTGGAAACAATAGGGGGTTAAAATATTGAAGAGTTGACCTACCTTTCTGAAACGCACCTCTGCATTTATTATTAGTGCACAAGGAGAGAGAGAAAATAGAAAATTCAGTCACTTCCTTTTGCGTGTCAGTTTACGATAAGTCTAATAAAACCACATCGCTCGTATGCGGTATTATGGAGAGCATCTCCCCTTTTGTTGTTGTTGCTGTTGTATGTCTTGCTAGACACCCACTCAACGAAATCAATAAATATCGATATCTAGACATATCACCACAGGGTAGGCACCAACTCACCGTCTGACCACTAATTGTTATCCGTATCAGATGCGGTGTCCTTGACTTTGGTACTAAGTGGATTCGCCAAAGGTGGTCGCATAAGCACCTTCTTCGGAACACAGTACGGAAACAGAATGACATTACAGACAGGGTTGAGTGATGGCTTGCCAGTGAGCTTTGTTTCCCAGCTTTTTTTTCGCTTCGATTTTCCAATCGTACTAAGCGCGAGTTGTTGCTGACGATGAACCGACAACCGATCCTGGAAAAGAGTTACCAATGGTGGGACTACAAATTCAAATTCGCGTTCATTTAATGAGCCATCAGTTTGAATCGTGAGAGTCCTGTGTAATCGAGGAAAGCGGCCGCGCTCGATGGCTAGCTCCTCACGATACATGCCACGATTTTCAAGATGTTGCACTTCGCTTTCATGAAGATCCTTTATAAAAGGCCGAAGAACATACGGAACCTTATAATCTACTGGGCGCAACCTTGCGTGGTCAGGAATGTATTTAGCTAAAGGTCGGAGGCCAGCCGGCGGTGGCGCACTCTTGCTGACTACTGCCCATTTGTTTAACACCATCGTCCAAAGACAAAGAGTAAAACGCTTGAGAACAAATTGAGGAAATATAAGGAAACGTGGAAATTTGAATCATCTTGAACAATTCTTGGACACTATATGTCATATAATAAATTACTCCATCCACAACTAAGTTTCTTGAAAGGTGTCCAGTCGACTGGTATACCTTTTAGCCTCAAACTAAAGAGACAATGATATTTTTAGCATCCCAGAACCGACTTCGCTCTTTTGAGATTCCTTGCTTCGAAAGCATCGAAAGCTAAACCACGCTCAGCCATCCATTCAACCAAGGGAAGTGACTCATATAAGCGCTTCAATGATTTTGCTTGATCCTTCATACGCTTGGCTACCGATTTTGGAGGGCCCAAATGATGCTGAGCAAGAGCAAGAATGCCACCCGTCTCTGGATGCAGCGATAAAGCCATAATGGAAAGCAAGTTGATATCCTTCGCACAACGAAATTCCTCCTGCATGAGAGACACACAACAATGGTCTACTAAGGCTAAGAGCACATGTTCAGTTAAATTGGTAGGGAACTCCCTGTCACACCCCATGGAATGCGCTACGGATGAATAGAATCTGCTTCCGCTAAATGGCGTCTCAACGGCAACACAGGAGTGAAGGAAGCGGGTAAACTTTTCTTTAGTGATATTCAAACTCTCATACATCGTATGAAACCGCGGAAAGCGCCAAATCGCGCTATATATGTTATCCACACCAAATTGAGCTAAAATAGCAGCCAGTGATTTTCTGAACCCCATGCACAATGAAAGTTGTGATAAAGACAATACCAAAGCAGCATTCGACAACAGGCATGCATTAATTGCTGCACGATACAGCTCAAGTGCTAGCGCTACCACAATCTTAAGGCCTTCCTCACCACTCGAGGTCTGGACGAAAGGAATGTTCCGCGACCTAAGAAACGCAATTGCAGTTGTCTGAATATTAAAATTGCAGTCCATTGAACTACGACATTCAGCTGCTAGTCGCTGTCCAGTCGAACTCAGCTCCACAATTGAGTCGAGAAGCGACTTTCCTGATTGAGTCAGTACGGCGATAGTTTGGCCAAAAGTATTCATCACCACAGCGCATGGCAACAGCGAGGTCATATCATAAAGCTCCGCCGGACTTCCCACAAACACAATGCAGTATGACAAGTCTGTTTCGCTTGCACCGGAATCACGTACCGAAGAAAAAGATGCCCGAAGCAGGGCTGTCAACCTGATCTGCGTCTCCCGCGCGACAGTAGCCTCCATCACTACTGTTATAGGAGATGCCCTGGTAGAATTGACGCGCTGGAGTCTCTTTACATCCATGATTTGTTGGGCAACCACCTCTGCAGACTCTAAGGTGGATAAGCTCTGGTTATCCAAGTACACGAAATTGGTCTCCAAGATGCAGGGTTGAATTGCCTGCGTTGGAAGCAAGCTTTCGACAGCGTATTCGTACAATTTGTGCGAATTATATACCGCTGTGGAGTTAAAGCACGAGATCATGACGTCCTGGAAAAAGGTATCAGAGGAACGTGTTAATGAGCTGTTCTTCGCGGCGTCGAAAACGGCACCACAGTAACGCTGCCATTGAAGCCTGATGGAGTGGTGCATATCCGTCGGTATCACTCGTGGAAGCAACGATGCTCGATTCGCCTTTTCCGGCTGTATTTGTATGAAAAAGGAAGAGAATGCCCGAGCAATCACTTGTGTGTAATGGGATATGAAGCTCCACCTCTGAAAAGCTGAAGGATGTGCAACAACCATTGATCTGCGGGTAACATCTCGCCAGCCATATAGCACAGTTGCCTCCCAGTGAGCAAAAGGCTTTGTATGCAAGAGTACCAAGAAGGACGTAACTACGTCAGTGAACATCTCCCGAGGGGTACCTTCTCCAAATAAGAACGGTGAGACAAAACGGAATAAGCTGTCAGCTGAACCCATTGAGGCAAGGCCATATCGAGCATCATCTTTGAGACATGCCTTAAGGACACGAATCACGGCAGGGGCTGGAAACACTCCATACGTCAGCTCTGGAAAGCCCACCTTCACAGAATCCTTCCGGCCAGTAAACATAACCCCTTCGCAACAAAAGAATAACTCAGCTGCAAATCCAAAGACAGTGGCCTCAGGCTCAACGATAGCCTTGATGCGCATTCCGCGATCTGCAGCGGACATTATACGTTCTAAGAGTTGCCCTTTCCGGGAACTCACATCCAGACGATATAGAGCTGATGCACCTAATTCATTGTACACGGGATTAAGTGACAATAGTGTACCCAATGTACTATGATCACTTTGCATCATTTTCACCAAATGCAAGCGAACCTCGATCGATGTATCACCATTTATGCGTTTATATGCAAGCGAAGACTCTATCTGCGTGAGTGCTTGGTTGAGGCTGCGAAGGACATGCCACAAGGTAGGAATTGGAGCTTCCGGGACAATTGTGTAAATCCCACTTGCGGTATCACACGAAACGGATAGCCAGGGACGGAAAGAAGCTTCAACTCGTTCCCCAGCGTGAACATGTGATAATGCGTCTCTGACAGTGTCTTCACGTTTGCGGAAGACACGGATAGGGCAACAACAAGAAGACCCACTAGGTTGAGCTAAGGGTGGTGACAACACTTCGCGTGCATCCTCCAGCGGCTGGCTACCCTTTCTGGTGGAATCAGTGCCGGTGTCTTGAGGCTGCAGAGGAGTGGAAAGTAGGCGCCCCTGACCTCCATGGAGAGTTCCTGCATCCGGTGTCAATTCCTCTTTTTCATTTTCAATAGGCATAGGGCTCTCCATTTTGATATCTTCAAGAGCTGGAAGAGTGCTCATAGTAAGTTGAACTTTGTCCCTTTTCTCTGTTGCTTTCCCAAGCGCCACATCCTTTTGATGAGACTTCGTTGAGCTAAAAAGCATGTACTCTATCTCCTCTAGACTGAATGAGCCATCTAAACAGCCACGAAAAGATCCGATAGTAGAAGCACGTGAATCAGATAGCTTGCACACGCTCCCGCTTGATGGAGTTAGAGTAAGGATATGATCCCTAAGAGAGGAGATTCCCTTCTCCGCAGAAACCCTTGATGAGGCTTGCGATGATGCCATAGATAGACTTGAGGGATGAGTACGATTAGTTATTTCCCTGATAGAGGATAGCTTTGCAGCTGAAATACTAATCTTGCGCCTCAAACGGGAATCCTGACGCTCTTTACTGAGCTTTTCTATACTTTGTGCCAAGAGTTCATCCTCATAAAATACTTTATGATGCGAAAGGTCTTTCTTTTCCCCTGAAGGTGAGCCTTTCATGTCCCTTTCCTTGCCTATCTCCGTGAAAGTGCTCTGTGTGCGAATGCATTGCAAACTAATCAGGCTAAACAGAGATGCCACTGAAAAGCGCAATTCAAACTTTGACTGTGACCAAGCGTGTTGATACACATTACGCATCTAGAAAGAAAGGGGTAATTGAAAACAACTAAAAAAAAAGTTGAATCCACTATCATAAATACAAAGGAAAAATAAAGAAAAGAGAAGGAATAAGGGAAAGTAATTTAAGACTTTTTATAGTCCAGACAGCCTGCTTAGCTAAATAATCGGGGTTGTAAGACAGAAGACCCCTTTCCATTAAAAAAAAATGCAGTGGAAGAAAAAGAGATAGGACCCACTGCACATGACACCGTTTTAGAAGCCACCATACCTAATAGGATAAATCTCGGAAAAAGCCGCCATACAAAGCTGAAATGAACAACGCATGACCTAAAACTCAAAGCCCAATTAGAATGCATACTGAAAAAAATAAGCATTTGAATGATCCCTAGCCCCTCCCTATCCCATCAACTTGGTATAAAAGATGACTGGGCCCGGTTGTCCTCATTGGCAGTTCCTGAAAGAAACCATGCGAGCACATCTTCATCTGAACTGCATGGCCCCAAATCGGTGGACTGCATTGCGACATTTACTGATTGCGCTTCTACACTGCGCAAGACATCATAACCAAAGCGCTCCACGTTCGCTTTGAAGAGCAAAATATCTGACCTCGCGATGTTTAGAGTATCTATGTCTGAAGCGGGAATCGGCTTTGTGACCTCACGTATTTTAATGGCTAAGGAACCCAGAAGTGGGACCACAATTCCTTGCAGATCGCTTGGAGGAAGCAGGGGACGCAGACTGCGGATTAGCCGTGCTACTTCACGAAGCATAGTCATAATCCACTCATTGCCTCGCGTGCTGTACTCTTTTGTTTCATTTCCCATTATCCCTATGCGATCTATCTTGTCAAGTACTATCGAGTTAATCTTATTGAAAAAACTGTTACGATGAGCCTGACAATCATTTACAACACGTATAAAATTATTGGCGACAAAGGACAAGAACTTGTTGGCGGTCCTCGAGCCACGGGGCAACACCACAGCACTCATCTGCGTCCTATCGGAATCTCCTTGCTCCTTAGCAGTGGTAGTCAGACCACTTGCCGCACCCAAGAGGCGCACCAACCGTTGCTGAAGTCGCGGAGTAAAGTCAACAAGGAAAGCCACACATTGGGAGGCAACACACAAATGAAGGGTTGTGATGTTCGTCAAAACGCCACTTTTCATCGCCTGAGCGCCAAGCACCATGCTCGCACATAAGTTTTCGTACAAAACCAAAAGCTCGTACATTTTAGAGGCAACATCCATTCCTAATGAAGGAAAACGAGCCAGGTAGCTATCATAATTTGCGAGAAGCTCCAATAAAATGAGGAGTGAGTTGCTCGCCACGCGACCGTTATCTTCTTCATTAAGTGAAAGATATAGCCTGTTAGGCCTACTGCTAAACGCAGCCTCCTCGTCATCCTTGGTAGTCTTTCTTGCAGGGGCAGTGGAGGTGGTCAGGCATGAAGTTTGAATAGTATCTAGTGGCGCTGCTGTCGTAAACGCATCCCACTCAGCCGCAGTGTAACCATTCTTAGCCGGCTCGATCGACTGGGAGACAAATTCATCGACGGCTCGGTCGTCACTCGAGCACAGGTGCACCAATTGGGCCTGAAAAAACGCATCAATACCGTCTTTGGAGGCCCATGTTTCGGCCTCGAGGACCAGCTTCAGTTTCTCCATTTGCTGAGCGTGCTGCGCCTTTAGCGAATGCTTAGCCAAATTGAGAATGTCAACGCCGATTTGTTTACCTAACCTAATTCTGTCCACCAGTTTGTTTAGCATTTCGGAGTGCAACGACGACAGCACACCTAACGGGTACAGCATGCGGCCGACAAATGCATTACCAACGCGCACAAGCCTTTCCACCTCTGCGATATTGGTGAGGATTTTGCTGTTGCATCGTAACTCCAAGCAGATGGCAATAATGGACTCGGCGTCCTCACATAGAGCAGAAAATAGATCAAACGTCCATCGCGCTAGCAGCTCGTGTTTGTTCTCATACATAGCAAGCGCATCAAGTGCGCACTCTAAAATAAAATATCCCCAACACTGTGCACTTTGAGTAACACTCTCGACAAGAACCTCAATCAGGCCCTCAAGGAGCTGAATAAAAAGGTCGAAACGACACTCACTACAGTATACCAGCAATGACTTCCTTTCTTCTATCGTTGGCTCCGGAGATATCGCAAGGGAGAGCAGCCTATCTGCTTTGACGTTGCTAAGACACCCCTCCCGATTCATTAAAAAGTTGATTACAGTCTCTCGAACTACTGCCCACTGCGCCCGTAGTTTCGACTCCCGATGGGTTCGCAAAGGAAGTGAAAGGACGTCCATGAGTGCAGCAGCATTAACAACTAGACTGAACTCGGCGCCTGACATCGAGGGAGATTCAGTGCCACAGCTTTGCAAGCCAAGCGATACCTGAGTGCATAGCAACTGCTCAAGATTCCTACGCGCCGCGGCAATGCGCGACGGTAATGGGGCCATAAAGTTAAGCCGTGGCACCGACTCCAAGGAGTTCAACCCCGGGGCTAGTGACGTTGATTTGGACGGGAAAGATGTGTGGCTAGCGTTCACATCACCCTTCACACTCACTGCCAGGCTCTCGCTGTGTGCTTCAGACGCGCTTGTGGTTGCGAAAGTGGCAATAGTATCGCGAAAAGAACCTTCTAAATCAAGTAAACGATGCACATATGCTGGAAGTTCGGCTATCTCGCGCTCCGGTAACGCAGTCCAGTTTTCAATCTCTTGTAGTAGCTGCAGCACCCTTTGTGTACAAGACAGGAGCGAGTTGAGTGACTCAATGTTAGTCTTCCGTCGATACAATCTGCCGATGCACAAATACTGGTGGATTGCCTGAGTTATACGCACTGTTCCGACATCACGTGCATTACTCAATTCCGTTATGGCATGTCTGGATTTGTCGCTTAGTATGCTAAACTCACGAGATTCTTTAAAGAAGTTCTCGGAATGGCTTCGAACGTGCTGAAGTAAGCAGTTTTCCACCAATGACTCCCACATTCGTAACTCCTTGCTGAACTGCTCCAGCGCCTCGAAATCTTTTGTAAATGTTTCCGTGCAAATTATTTTATGACCATCGGTGAGTTCACCTTCAGCGTCAACCTTGGTACATGTATCAGGGTCGGCGGAACTATCAGAGGGAGCGCTGAAAAGGCGTCTTAACGCCGTCTGTGGGTCGTAGCTAGTGCTAAAGAAATCTTCAGGGACCATTTCAGGCCACGGCAAGTCCTCCGCTCGTTGTGCAGCACCCTGCAAAAAAGATAGTGTCTCAATCGTCTTCCGCCCTTCACTTCGGTTGGCGTGATATGCCGCGGAGACGAGGTTAACATAGTCGTTGTAATCCGTCCTCGAAATATGTTCGATGAGTAAGGGAGAAGAAGATTTTTGAGACGGCTGCTGGTGGTATAAGGACTTGCACACTCCCTCCAAGTTATTGTTTGAGTGCCCGTTGTAGTCGAAAGCTTCATAAAGCTTGCTGCCGAGCCACGCACCCCAATCTACGGACTCCGCGAACTCCTCAGGGTCATTAAGGATTGAAGCAAAACTCTGACCAACAGAACTCTGCAGGGATTTGAAGTATTGTGAAGAGGATGGAGTGAAAACTGAAAAGGTACCATCGTGCTTGGCTGCATCGGACGTGTCACTAAAAGATGGCGTGTTATTTTCTGACTGCAACGTTCTTGCGCGACTATTTCGGTAGACATATGGAATTTCCACCTTGTCTGAAGGGTTGGTTTCCTGCAATGCAACTATAAGGGACAAGGGAATTCCATGCACCACTGCGCTGTCACTCTCATGTAACCAATTAACCAGTTGGTTACGCAAAAAAGTTGACGATACATCATTTCGAATGCATTCCTCAATCACGAGTGGTGGTAGTCCAAGCATCTGAGATACCTGAAAGCATGTAAAGCCTTTATTAGCGACTAGAAAGGCACAAATGACAGCAGCAGGGCTATGCCGTGAAGTAAACGTGAAATCGCTAATAGATAATGACGCTGTATTCGATAATTTAGATGCGCTATGATCCTGAATCATCGTGTTTATGGGTCCACCTTCAAAGGGTATGACTACCTTTTAGCTTGTCTACCTTATCCCACGCGATACCAGGATAATACTGCCGACAAAAAAATATTTCAGAAGGGTACAAGAGATGCAAAAAAGAAGGGGAATAACAGTTTTTTAAAAGGTGCAGTTTCTTTTGTCGAGAAAGTGTTGTGCAGACCTTGATCTCAGACAAACAACAAAACAGTGCTGTTATTTTTGTACCACTATGCTCTTCCTTGTTATTCTCTTCATTTTCGAACTTATGCTTAGTGTCGATGAGAATAGATAGAACCACAAGAACTACAATAAGCACACTGCAACCTATCTATCTGGTTCATGGGTTTATATGTATTCATCTTAGCAAAACCTGGTGCTGGAAATCCCAATAACATAACAATAGCCAATGATTTTCATTATCATGAAGAATAGTTCCATAATAAGTTTTTTTTGCCTAATTGTCCCTGATGAAAGGTGGTAGTGAAGATAAATTCCATTAAAAGATAGCATTGGAGCCATGTAGTACCATATCCGAAAACGATGCACACTCCACGCCTGCCTCACGCCCTGGTTGATGCGCCGCGACAAGAGTCAAATAAGCTTCAGAGAGCACTTTTAGTATAGAATTGTTGCTCTTAATTTGAACATTCTCATCATGAAAGGCCTCCGATGTCTGTGCATGGCTGCCACATAAAAACGATAATACTTAATGTTCTTCTTCCAAACCAGTTCGCTCACTCTCAGGAGGACCATCAGTACTCGCTTCCTTGGATAGCTCCACAATGCACACTTCTGGTGCCACTTCAGGCATGGTACTGGGCCGTGTGTCAGGGCCCACATCGCTAGCATTTGCCACAGCTCCCTCCAGATCCTTTGCATCCGACTCGGAGGTTTTGAGAATATTACTTTCTCCTGCTGTATCGTTCATCATACCGGCTGTAGAGGGAACCGGCACAACAGCCGAAGGAGGCGACGGTGGGATAAACGCAGTTTCACCCTCATTATCCACAGCCTTGTGTTGTTCCCCTTCCTCGCTCGATCTGCCCTCGTTCTGACTTCTCACTTCAACTTTGTGTTCATCTTCATTCCCGACATCAGTAGAGGGGGAGGGCGTCTTCTTTAGTGGGGGCATGAGTGATACACCCGATAATGAAAACCCTCGAATCTTGATATCGTTGAGATTTTCATCCTCAGATGCACTGTTGTTCGCTTGAGGTGAGCAATTGTTCCTTTCTTCCGGGTCCATGTTCAGGGAAGGAAAAGGATTTCTCGGCCCTATCGGCGACTGCTTCGGAGACAAGGAAACACATCCGATTGAAAACTGATCCCCTATATTCCCTAGAGTGGTTTCTGTAGGTGCAGCCGAGGTGAAAAACGGCTGAGGGGGCATCGTCGTTGCCATTGATGCCCCTTCGAGTGCCTGAGAGTAACAACCAAAGTTTGGATCCTTTTCACCAACTCCTGAGTTTGAACTTTGTGAAAGTAATGTGATGTGCTGGCCTTTTTCTTTGCCTGCCACTTCACAAGTAGGTAACAAAGGGGTTTCCCCCTTCGACTGTTGCAACTGCGTATTTGTAATGGAAGCAGGTGCAATGATAATCAAATTGTCATCGTCATTTTCCGGGAGGCCTGCCCCCCTATGGTCAGCGTTTTCCCGCTCAACCAAATCAAGTTTATCAAAAGACGTTGAAGCTACAACCGGGTAGGCATCTGGCAGGGTTGCAAATTTCGTAGATGACATGCCGTTTTCCCCGTGAACGCTCTGAAGTGAAGAGCGAGAAACTGGAGTAGCAACTGAAATAGCGTTTTGAGGCAGAATCGTTGTGTTAGCATCGGACGGATTTCCCTCACTCCGAACAGAGAGCGATATCACTGGAGAAGTCACGAAAGATTTCACAGTATGAATTTCTGAAGACACGTTACGTCCCCGATCTAAAATTCCCCCAATAGCAGAAGGAATCTGGGCTTCAGTGATGAGTAAATTGGACCTCGAATGATTTATCTCCTCATGCAGATTTCTGTCTTCCACATGCTTGTCCTCAGATGTAGCTGCGCTCAAGGGAGTGATGGAGGCCGAGGCACTCTGAATTGTTGCGACGGTGCTTACACTAAGCGATCCCGAAGAGTGAGGAGTCGGTGGTTTTCTCGCTGAGGGTGGGCTATGAGGAAGCTCGTGAGGAGTCACTGTGTATTCCTCTTTTCTTCCGAGCTCCTGAATGCTTTCTGAGGGGGGAGTTGCAGAACTACAAATGTGAACGCCTGGCTTCTTATTCGGTGAAGAATTAGAAGAGTCCACAGCTGTGAGCGTGTGCGTGGTGTGACCGGAAACCTCAAAGATGTCCTGCAGACTATGTGGGTCTGGTGTGTCCTCGATGGTTGCATATTTTATAGGAAACGTGCGACTAATGCGGTCCTCGCCACGAGAGCAGGGCTGGGTCGGAGCCTGGTACTGGTCAGATTGCACACTAACCTCCTGAGTGGCGTCTATATTTGGAGGCTGTGTCGTCTCCATAAAAGACGCAAGCTTCTTCTCGAGTTGCTGTATAGTCTCACGAAGCATCTCCTCTCGACCGTGTGCAAGATTTCTTTCTTCCTCAATCTGCATCTTCATGTTCTCCTCTGCAAGCTGTATAGCTTGCACTCTTGCGATATCCATTTCATTGCGAAGAGAGGCCTCTTGGGTATTTTTCTCTATGAGAAGCCTCTGGAATCTGTCTCGTTCCTCCAGTACAGTTAGCATATCCTCCAATGACACCCCTTTCATGAAAATCTGCTTGTATTTGTCCAATTGTCGATCAGACTGAATTAAAAGGGACCGTGCTCGTTCAAGTTCCTGCTGCTGTCGAGCTAAATTTTCTGGCAAGAGCCGAAGCACTGACAATTCCTCCGCCAAGGATGTGTTTTCGCTCCTAAGCTTTTCGAGCTCCGCGTGAATTAGCAGGACTTCTTTTTCATCAGAGTTTCTTTGCTGAACAAATGTGTTCAATTGTTCGCTCATTTGTTGTATTAACGCCTCCTTTTGGGGAGTCTCTTCTATATCGTTTGCTTGACGGGATCTAGACCGAGGTACGAGGGAGATTTGGGCTGAACAATTATGGTTCTTTTTCCGTTTCTTATTCACATTACGGCCATCTAAGGAAAAAGCCAGCTCGTCTACCCCAGAGATGTTGTAGCGCATAGGCCTTGGGCTGCGATTGAGCAGCTGTCGTAGCTCACTTTCGGTAGCCTGTAGTTCCATTGAGAGTTGGCGCACACGAAATGTTCGCCGATCATGTTTGAGAAGGTCGATTTCCTGAAGTGAAGCTGTCAGTTTTTCCTCTAAGAAACATATTCTCTTGGTTAAATCTTCACTCGCTGACGTTGTGGATTTTCCTACAGAGTATGGCGGTCCAACGAGGGTTGCTTCATCAAAATGGATTCCGTTAAATGGCGTATGTCCACATGATTTCATCCCTGCTTCTTGTGAGAAGCGTATCATCATCTCGGCATGGCGAAGAGCCTTCTTTAGTGACTGGACCTCTTCCTTTTTATCTTTGAGCTCACAATCCATCTCAAGTAGCTGGCCATTGGATTTTAAACGCATAGCTTGTAATTCTGAATAGGTTGAAGAGCTCGTGGAACAGCGCCTTTGCATAGTTTCACCCTCCTCACCAATTCTGCGAGTGAAGTTAGTTCCATAACTAAGGAGACTGCGCGAGATGTTGCGTCCACAATCAGGACACATCGCTAATCTTGATGAATTACCTTCTTCAAGGCTAGCTTCTAAGATCCCTCTCTGCTTGGCCTCTGAGTTGGTGCAAACATAACGAAGCCTTGAGCCATGACGTCGAAGAAATTCAGGAGTATTGATAAGCCGATTTCTGGGCGTGCTTACATGCGGTGTTTGGTATATTATACCCATTTTATGATTTATTTTCACTTTGGGTCGTTCAGTTCGCTTCCGAGCAACTACGTTGATACTCTTTTCTGGTTTATGTAGCACCCTAAAATATTCGCTGTTCACAGAAATGCTAGGGTGTGCAAGTGGTGCTGCGTGAACGCGGGGTTTGTGAAACGGCTCGCACTTCTCGAGCTTCCTTGGACTCAACACATACTTAGAGGTGGTATGCTCTGCAGGGCCTTCGAGCACCGATGAGGCGTTTTTTTCTCTGCCAAGGGAAACACCGCAAAGATCATTTCCTCCAAACGAGTCCGGGGAGGCATCTTCCCCCGGTGTTGTAGAACTCATAACAACCTGTAAGATCAATTCAGAGATGTTTCTGTAGTTTCAACACGCACAAACTAAGCTCTAAGACAAGAAAACATAGTGTTATGAACTCGTTAAAAAGTAAAGCAGATAAAAATTTTAAAAATTCTCAATACCTCTGTCCATTTATGCGTGCGGCATACTACACTACTCAACAAAGATATGGGAAAAAGAAACTTTTTGCCTGTAGCCACAGATATTTGATGTAATTGAGGGAGATTTAAAAAGCTCTATAAAAAGGTTTGACAATGCAAGAGAATGCCGAGTGTCCAACCTAGAGATACGTTAATAAGTGGGGAGTAATACATTTTAGAAATATGAAATGATGGGAAAAAGTGGCTGGTATTGAATTATATTTAACGGCGAGTAAATATACATATTCAACTTATCTACAACACTCAACAAAATATTGTTAATCCACGGACCGAGGGATCCAAAGCTCACTTGATTTCAGCGTCTTGGCCACGACTTTTAGGACCTTAGGGCTAATAAAAACTGGGTTGCTTCACTAAAATGAGTTTCGACATACAGACAATTTCTTCACTCCACACCAAGCTATTTTTCCTATATTTACCCCCCTTTATTCATATAGGAGAAACATCAAGGACATAAAAGTAGATACCAATCCTACGAAACATGTGATGCGTTATCTTTGTTAATACTTAGTTATCCAACCATGACCCACTCTTATTCCCATATTATTTGCACCGATAGTTTGAATATTATAACATTCCGACGATAAAGCTTGTGAAATACCCTCCTTGCCTAGCTTTCTCAGAGTATCAAATTGTATCAGCACTGAAGAGGCCAAGAACAAGGAAAAACACCTCAATATCGTTTATATGTCAGTTGATTCATTTTTTTTTTTTAAGAAAGCTTAATCTTTTTTATTTTTGCTTCTCTGTTTCCTTTTGCGAGAGCAAGGGAACGGGGACCACAAGTGGCATATTAATTTGTCACGTTTTCGTTTATGTGAACATAATTTAGCTGTGTACACTCCCCGGTGCTTTTAGAGAATAAATGTAAAAACGATTATCAGCATGAAAATAAGACTAAAAAACATATACAAAGCGACCCTCTTCTTAATACTGCTCCAAAATGACAGCATATGTGGGGTTGGATCTCTTATATACTTGTGTCACATTTGTTTACGTATTACATGGATTATTTAAGGGAGAGCATGCAGCCTGTGGAGTGAAGCTCTCAGTATATGCAGTAATAATCATTTACAGACAAAAAGAAAAAATAACCTATACACGTTTTCCTATTAGGGGACGATCATAGAAGCTGTACCGCACATTTTTTTGTTCATGTTGAATGTTCGAAACCCCCTACTCGATTGTCTTAGTAGTGTTGATACTTACCCTGATCTACGATAGTAGAAGTCAGGGCGGTCTCCATTTGAGCTACCATATATGTGATACATGGAATACCATTTTTGGGGAATGATCACAAGATAAGCAAAAATAAGACTATTTCGTAAGATTCGATGGGCTTGTCTTCAGAGTAGTGGAAAGATGATATGAAAACAGAGGCGCACTCACTAGCAGCCTTTGTTTGCTTCTACCGCCAGAATCTGTGTACATAGGTTCCGACGACTTACCTAGCGACCTGCTCGACTTACTTTCCTCTTCTATAGTCTCATCATTTCCTAGTTGATGGCCAAAAAAATCATCCCATGGTGCGCTTCTGTCCTGAACAGCATCTAGAAGTAGAGTCTCCTTAGCGAACACCCCTGCGCTCCCTGTTGTCAAGGTGTTAGTACCGTCACTGCTAAGAAACAGAAGGGGAGCCCTAGGTATCGCCGACATCACACTATGCGATGCAGGAGGCTTCACAACAGAGGAGTCACTCAACGCAGGGGAACTTGATTCTACTTTTAGGGTGGTTTCTAGAGGCTGCTTGACCGTAAGAAAACTTGAATGTGATGGGCATTCGACAGAAGGTACCATTTGATTCAGCACGTTCAGCGTGTTGATTTGCTCCCCTTGAGACTCCGCTATGGAGATGGAGGAGTGGTTACATGCGATTGCAGGCGAAACTACTTCCGCCTTATGCCCTAAATTCTTCCGATCTAAATCTGTTTGCTCGTCTTCTAATACTCCCTCAAAAAAAAATTCTGCATCGACTCCCTGAGTGATCTTATCAGAACTCGGCGGCGGGGAGCTCGAATCAATAATTTCTCTCTTAATGATCTTTAATTCTGCCGACGTCCCCCCCTGGGGTTCGTCTTGAGAAAGGAGAAACGGAGATGTAGCAGTTGGGGAAGGATGACAAGCATTCGGGCATTTGGCCGCGATGCGCATTGATACTGTCAAGACTTCGCTATACCATTTCTGCAAGCGCTGCTCCAGCGCAACAATGCGCAGAAGCTCATTGGGGGCATTAAAGCACTCGAGGAGGGAACTAATGCCAGCCCCAGTCTTGGCGCTGATCGGCACGGCGAGGGCAGGTACAGAAAACGAAAGCGGAGGGGGTCCGCACTGAACAATCTGAGATATAAAGGAGGTCGTGGTGCGCCGTAGCTGTTTACACGCTGCAGTGACATCATCTAGATCAATCTTGTGCTCTTCCAAAGGTACATCCATAAAGTTTAATGCAAAAACAATGCAGCAATTGTACGGCACGTGCTCTGCCTCCTGAACAGCGTAATCCAGCGTTATAGGACGAGTGCAGTCAATCAAAAAGATGGTTAAATGACAGCCACAATACACGTCAATGTTACGTGCGTCACACACATTCGGAACCATTTTCAAGCATAGCTCAAGTTGATCCTTGTTGCGCTGCGAGTCGGGGATAAAGGGGATAACGCCCACAGACGATTCACCGCTATCAACAACATCCCAGACATCCACCCTGGTACCCTCATGAGAAGCATAGCCTTCCCCGAGGAAACGCAATGTTGTTGCAGTAATTTCCATAGAGGCCTTGTAAATGGAAGGAAGTGGATGCCCACCGAGACGAGCCAGCAAAGTACTTTTACCTACCCTGCGCATACCACGCAACACTACCCTCATGTTAGAAACAGTTCCTTTTTCGATCTCTTTTCGAACTGCAGATGAAAGTGGCCATATCTTCGCTCTGCGGTTCTCATACGAACTTCCTTGCGGTGGGATGCGATGCCCAAGGATCGACTTGCCCTGACCCAAAACATGTTGAAGAGTCTCCAAAAGCGATGACATTAGTCAAAACAGTCCCTTTTACCCTTGCTATGTCTAGTACTGATTGTTGCTGATTTTATGTTGCTTGAAGCGTGTGCCGATGCAGTCACTAATCTGTATGAGGTGAAAAATAAAATTTTTGTATTAAGGTTAAGATAATTGCCACAAGGCAAATAGTAAAATGCAAATGATGTGTTTCATTGTTAGCTCTCCGTTGCCTCCCCCTTAAAGGAAATTGTATAAAGCAGAGAACAATAGAAAGCAAGCGCAAAATGCAAATAAGAAATACGTTAAAACGTATACCAATATAAAAAGCAAGCGAAGATATATTTTTACAGTCATTTTCCTTTTTCTGACCCCATTGCACATATCCATAACAGTTTCACAATAATAATTGAACTGTGCTAACATTAGGATACACACAGAATAAAGAGAAGCTGGGTTGATCGCGATCATCCGCCAGAATGCTAAAATCTACACCAAAAAAAATTAAACAAGTGTACATTTGCTCTTCCGATTTTTCTTACGTACTGAAGATGATACTGGTTTGATCTTTTCCGGATTTTTTGTTTGGGATTTATTTATTTTTTGTGGGGTTGGGGTTTTAACACTCGAAAAGACGGCTGTAGATACAGAAGCAGCACATTCATCTGTGGCAATTGCGGCATTAGTCGTCACTTTTCCCACGACCAGCGCTGAATCAGCCGGATACCCAGAAGATAGTCTGACTTTGTCTTCGCTTTCCTTAAAGAGACTCACGACTCCTCTTTTTCTTATATCTAAAGCTTTCAGTTGATTTGAGGGTCCTTCAGACTCCCCAAATTCCTCAGATCTAAGGTACTGCTGAGTGATGAACTCAAATAATTGATAAACATTGAAGTTATCCTTGCTGGAAACACGAAACAACGGAAGCTGAAACTCCTCAGCCAACCCCATTGCTTCGCTATCGGTAACTGAAGATTCATGGAAGAGATCACATTTGGTTTGGCAAAGCACCATCACAATTGGCCCACACACAAACTCCACCTTTTGCTTCCATTTCGCCACATCGGTGAAACTATCATGATCCACTGTGCTGAATGAAAGGATAGCAGCGCCAGCTCCACAGTAATAGGCCTGAGTGAGGGCATTTGACATCTCCTGCCCAGCCGTGTCCCATAGCATGAGTTTTATTGGAATTTTAAATTCGCCACAAAGGACATCCTTCACAAGAAACTCAGCCCCAATTGTCTTGGTATACCGATCGATGAAGTTACAACGGACAAAGCGGTGTAGAAGAGACGTTTTTCCAACACCACAATTCCCCACGACAATCACTTTGATGCATTCCTCAGGACCATAACTCATGGCTTAATTTAGCCCAAGAACTAAAAAAGGCGCCAATGAAGAACTGACAAACCGAAAACTTAGTTTAGCCTGACTTCCACTTTATCCTTCACTGAGATGTATCTAAATAGATAGGTATGCATATATGAGCTGTCCTAACAAAATCCCCGAAAATTAGTGCTGTTAGATGACTAAAAAAGGGGATATCAAATAAATAACTCATAAGAAGTGATGAATAATAGAGACACCATATTGCATTTTCTAACGCTGCATGACTATACGTTTCCTTTTAATCAAAATGATTTAAGAGCATATCCATACAAATAGGTTTCTTATTGGTTCATAAATGACTCATCATGCTTAATAAATGTTATCTTACTTGCACAAAGAGTAAGGCTGTGTAAATAGGTCCATTCACAGTTGATATCTGAATGTTAAACTAGTCAAGTTATTTTCCTTTCAAATATAAATTGTGGATAAATGAATATTGTACCTTTCAGAAGGTACAATACATTGCCTTGCGCAATGTGGCAACAATAAAAAATCAAGTTTATCAAAAAATTCAAATAATAATTGCCCTCAATCGAATAGGTAAATACAAAAAGATGGTAAATATGCCTGCTAAGATTGGCTTCCTTTAAAAACTACACTTCTCCACCAAGCGTCTTGTTTCCTCAGAGAGCTTCTCCGGCATGTCGACATGAAATGTGATGTAAAGATCGCCGCGAGAATTAAGCTTCCGATTTGGCATTCCCTCCTGACGAATGCGCAGTTTGCGCCCCTCCTTGGTAACACCTGTCAACGGAAGCGTATGGACCTTTTCGTCAATACCCTTTACCTGCACGGTAGTGCCCAAAAGAGCCTGCTTTAAGTTGATATACATATCAGTGAATAGATCTGCATCTACTCGTTTAAAGCGAGTATGTGGCTTCTCGTCCAATACAAACACCATATCAGCAAGTACATTGGGTGCGTAGCCTTTGACGCAGCCACCTTCTCGTTCGAATCGTATCTTTGTGCCCTTCTTATAACCTGGTGACACCTTTACCTCAAACTCCTTTTTATCTTTCCCGTTAGGCATATCACGTGAGACAGAAAACTTTTTTACACAGCCATGGAAAATTTCTTCTAGTGTGCAAGCGAAAGTGTATTCAACTGCTGGAACCTCACGGTCAGGAGAAGCTTGCGGAGTCGCAAATCCAGTCATGAAGCCGTCCGGGCCGCCAAAGCCACGGAAAACACGATGCAACCCAGGGCCACCGCCGCCAAAGGCCTCACCACCACTAAAGGGATCCCGTGTACCGAAAAAACGCTCAAAAATACCAAAAGCATCGTCAGTCGTAAAAGTATATGCAGTATGGCGACCGTCACCACCCTGAGTTGACCACTGAGAGTTCATGTGTGGGCCATCATCCTGACTCATGCCAGCTTTGAGTCCCTCCTCCCCATACTGGTCATAGATTGCCTTCTTCTTCTCATCACTAAGAACATCGTAGGCTTCACTGACCTCTTTAAATTTTCGCTCCGCCGTATCGCGGTTGTCCTTGTTCTTGTCCGGGTGGTACTTGAGGGCCATCTGATGATAAGCTTTCTTGATAGTCTTTTGATCAGCATTTCGCGGTATCCCCAACGTTTTATAATAATCCACGCCCATGTTTGATTAGCTTTTTTATTAAACCGATCGTATATATTGCAATAGCTTTCTAAAATCCCTGATAAGTGTACAAATATGTGTTTATATATGCCGTTTTTCGTCCTTTGGCAACAAAGTAATAGTAGCGAAAAAAACAACAGCAAGATTGTCCTCGTGCTAAAGCAAATTTAGATGGAAAGAATCATAAATAAACTTTGCCAATGAATTCAAAAGCACCCTCGATCTTGCAAATACTCGATGCATAAAAGATAGTATCATTATCTGGAATTTCTACTTAAGGCTTGCAAAGTAGAAAATAAGGATATAAAATTAGTGATACCTGGAAAATAATAATTATGAAAATACTTTTTTATATCATAGTTTCGGGTCTTATCGTCTAGAAATACTGTTATAAAGCGCGAGGCTTGAAAAAATTAGTAAAGTTACGATTGTATAAAATAAAATAGTTTAAATAACACCAAAGAATGATATCAAAAAAAATTGTATAGGAAAAAGAAAATAATAAAAAACAATACTTAAAAATTATTAAAGATAAAGAACAAAAATTTTGCAGAAAAAAAAAGTAACATCTTAAAAAAGAACTCTCATTTACCATAAAATGGCAAATAAAGGAACAAGAAGGGAAGGAACCTAGGCACGCGTCGTTTAAAATTTGTCTGAATCATGAGTTTCGAATATATCGGGTTAAATTCATCGAAAAATTTTTTCAAAAAAAAGTTAATAATATAAAACTTGGTGAAGTCACAAACTCACCATTTTTTTGAACGAAAAAACGCCATTGATAAATTAAAAGGGGCGCGTTAAAAAAAAGTGAGCCCCACGCAAAATGCACAACTACTAACAAAGAAAATAGATAAGATCCTTTTAAAAGAATACGTTACTCAGGATAGTAGAATAAAAAAAATACCAAATCAACCTCATAAACAATTAAAATGAGAAAACATCATGCAGAAGAGAAGGCAGAATGTTTTCAATCGACCAATAATCTACTAATTACCTAGAGGCACCATTATTTTGAAATATAATCAAAATACAAGATCTTAATCATGAGGATTC